AGATAGATAGATAGATAGATAGATAGATAGATAGATAGATAGATAGATAGATAGATAGATAGGCAGGCAGGCAGGCAGGCAGGCAGGCAGGCAGGCAGGCAGGCAGGCAGGCAGGCAGGCAGGCAAGCAGGCAAGCAGACAGAGACAGACAGACAGACAACTTTGGCTCAACTCTTCTTCAAACTTGTGTTTTTCAAAGTAAATGGTACTTTAAAAAGTCTGTTTCTTGTTTTTGAACAAAAGACTCACATCGCTGTTACAGCTTCTTCTTTCGGCTTCCTGCCCTCCGGGTCATTTCGGTGGCTTCACATTTACAGGAGCTTCAAGAAACGTTCCTCCCCCCCCCCCCCCCCCCCCAAAGAAACCTGGGCCCCGCCCCGCCGCTCTTCCGAAGGCAGCTCCTCAGCCAGACAAGCGAAGCCAAAAGTGGCTAGAGGAAGCCTCACCCATGTGCCCAGGTGCAACTTGGCAAGTGCCAAGTGCGGGGAGGATGATGTCAGCCAAACCAAAACAGAAAGTGATCTTCTGCAGAGCTCGCCTCCCCAGGAAAGCCTGCAGCCTTTCCACCTCCATAGCCACCAGAATCAAAGGCCTGCGTGGGTCTCTTGAGTTTGCATGCGGGGGGGGGGGTACATGCATTCAGCAATGGCTGAAGCGCTGTAGCACTCCCAAAAGCCCCTAAGCTGTGCAAGGAGGATAGGATCGGGTGTTGCTGCTTTGGATTTGGTACCAGAGGCTGCTGTGTTCACATCGAAGCGATGCTGCTGTGTTTAAAGCAGAGCATATATTAAATCCCAAAATTGTTAAGTGTTTTTTTTTTCCCCCAATTTTCTGGAAAATAATGGAACAGATCACCTGAGGAGGAGGAGGAGGAGGAGGAGGAGGCTGCTTCTCTGCTGGAAGAATTGGAAGCAGCGCTCCTCAACTTTGAAGAGGTGCCGATTTCAACGTTAAGAGGGGCGGATGAACTTCAACTCCCAGAGTTCTGTGCTGGCTGGGGAATTCTGGGAGCTGAAGTCAACCCCTCTCCAAGTTCCTGTGGTCGAGGAGCAATGCTTTAAAAACAGAGGTTGGGTGTTTATCTGTTCAGAGATGCCATAATAGTGAGTTCCTACACCAAACGGGGGGGTTGGGATGGATGATCTTCAGCATCTCTTCCGTCCCAGGGTTTGCCTCGTAGCACTACTAAATCTCAAGAGCATCGAAGCCCCCAAATCATCCCAATTTGAACCAGCATGGGGTCCTCATTACAAGCCAGCCGGCTCCTTCTATCTGTATCTGCAGAGTGGAAGGACGCCCTGTGCCTCCCAAGTGCCCAACTAGTTTTGAGAGGGTGAGCATCAAGTCTTCCCTGCCTGTTGCCCCACCCCTGCCTGTTGCCCCCACCCCAACATACACATGAACCCCCACAATAGGGGCCTGGCTGAACATCTGAGGATGATGAAAAGAGACCGGGGGGAGGGAGATTTAACGAAGACTGAGCAAAGCATATGAAGTCTGCCACGCCAGCGGGGAGGGGAAGCTTGCAATCCTCAAGGGGTGTTGCGGTACAGAATTACATTTACACACCCACACGAATAACACGCTGCAGGAAAAGAGAAAAAAAGAAGTGACAGCCCCTCCACTTCAAGGGATGGCAGCCTTCTTGACAAAAGGGCGAGGAGAAAAGGATTAGCCCCGAGGAACAGCAGGCAAGTTAGCCAACGAAGACTGAAAACCTGCACAGCTGGAACCCGGGAATCTCCAGGGAAGGAAAACTCCAGTTGGTTTCCAACCTGTAGGAAGGAGGATAGGCTGCCTAACTCCCTCCTTGGCACTGTTTTGTACCAGGAGCATCAGGCTGACTCAGGACAGATCGTCTGGAACCCGAAGAAGAATCGGGGAGAAGACTTTCTCTTTGGGTCCGTGTCCCCTTTGAAGGAATAAAACTCCCGGCCTACATTAGCTGGTGAACGAGACGCAGAGAAGTTCCCGTCCGTTGCTTTAGAAAGCGGAAAACACGTTTGTTTTGTCACCTTTAGCGAGTGCCGCGCGGTCTGTGCAGGTTCTCAGTCGTCCAGGTCATGCTTACCCCAAACTTGCTTTCTCCAAAAGGCAACTGGACTTCTTCTTTTTTTTTAACCAAAAAAAAAAATGTGCTTTTTTTTTTATCCAAAGGCAGTTAAGACTTTTTGGGTTGTTGCTGTTGTTGTTGAAGAAAAGTCCAGTTCTTTTTGGAAGGGGCGGGGGTGGAAAAAAAGCCCCTTTGGGACAAGTTCCGCGTTGGGACGGAACCGGTTAGACCAAAAGCCCCTTTGGAAAAGGTTTGGAATCGATCCCCAGAGAGAGAGAGAGAGAGAGAGAGAGAGAGAGAGAGAGAGAGAAGGAGACAGAGAGGGAAAGAGAGAGAGAGAGAGAGAGAGAGAGAGAGGAGACAGAGAGGGAAAGAGAGAGAGAAAGAGAGAGAGAGAGAGAAGGAGACAGAGAGGGAAAGAGAGAGAGAACGAAAGAGAGAGAGAAAGAGAGGAGACAGAGAGGGAAAGAGACAGAGAAAGAAAGAGAGAGGAGACAGAGAGGGAAAGAGAGAGAGAACGAAAGAGAGAGAGAAAGAGAGGAGACAGAGAAAGAGAGAGAGAGAGAGAGAGAGAGACCGAGACCGAAACGGGCTTACCAAGAGATGTTGTTGAAGCTGAGGAAGAGGCGCTGCAGGCTGGGCAGGCTGTCCACATCTTTCTAAAGGCGGGTGGGAGGGAGAGTCACCGGCGTCAGAGGCTGGCAAGGCAGAACCCCGGAGGAGCCGGCATTCATGCCGCTTCCCTTCCTCCCCCTACCAGTCTTCCCCGCAGCCCTGATGGGAGGAGACTTCCGTGGCGCAGGTCAGAATGAAGGCAGAGCCCTCTTTTTATGGGGTGGGTGGGGAGGGGAACCCCCCCACTGTGTGGCTTGCGCCCGGGCAAAGGCGGAGGAGAGGAGGGGGCGGGTGAGGAGGCAGAGGCAGGGGGGGGGTGCCAGACACAGCAGCAGCAGCAGCAGCTGCTCTCTGTCTGCCTGAAAGCCGGCCGGCAGGCTTCTCTCCCTCCCTCCCTCCTCCCCTCCCTCCCTCTCTGGTGCTGCTGTCTCAGCATTTGGGCGGGGAGGGGCGGGGGCAGCAGGGTGCGCAAGGAGGAGGGGAGGGGAAATGTGCCGCAATGAACAGCAGGGCAAAATCAAAACAGGGCTGGGGAGCCGTGGGGGGCTCTTCCCTCCCCGCGTCGAACGGCTCGGTCATGCGGGCAGCCCTCCCACCGGGCCAGCGCGGCTGCAAGGAAGCCGGCAGCTTTCACGCCAATCCTGAGGGAAGAGAGTCGGGGGGGGGGGGGGAGGGGGGGGGGAGAGAAACGGGCGAGGTCCCGTTCTGCAAAGGAAGCCGGCCCTCGTCTGCCCTCTCAGAAGGACTTGGAGAACGGTGGAGGGGTGGGGAAAAAAAGAAGAAGAGAGACAGGAAAGGACCTTGGAGGCCATCTAGTCCAACCCAGCCCTGCTCAAGCGGGGAAACCCTGTCGTATTTGAGACAAACGGTTCTTAAAAACCTCCAGTGTGGGAGCAGAAATAATTCTGCAAGCTACAGGCCAGGCTAAACGTCTACGGAGAGTCTCTCCATCATCCAGGTCGAAGGGGCTTCTCTTTTTCCGAAGGGGCAACTGGACTTCCTGGTTTTTCTTGGAAGACGTTTCGCTTCTCACCCGAGAAGGTGCTTCAGCTCTGAGCCTGAGGACCGCAGATAAATCTCCAGGGGTGTCACGCCCCTGTTGGAGTCTGACTAGAAGGAGGAAGACGAACAGCTGACAAGAGAGCGGGAGGGTGGCTCCTGTTGGCTGTGGAAGAAACCGGGGAAGGGCAAAGTCCGGCTGGGCAGAGCAGGGGAGAGGTAGAACAAGGGAGAGGGAATTCAGAGGGAGATTCAGGGCATCCGCTCTTCATCCTAGGGCTTGCAGGAACAGAGAAGGGAGCAACGTGGGTTGCATGGCTTACAGGGGAGGAAAGGGCCCTGATTCCCTTCATTAGCTGCAGCTGGGAACACAGGGTATTGTCGAGGCTTATCTGGGTTCCTGGCGTCTTCCCAACTGTGTGTGTTTTGCTGGCCTTTCAAGTCTGCGATTCCTCCTCCTGCCCTGTCCAGTAAGGTTTGTTTGGATTTTTAGTTACAGTTTGTACGTACTTTGCTTTCGGAATGAATTTCCTCACCTGAAAAACTGTTCCTGGGAGAGTTTTTCTCCAGCCGAAGGTAACTGGACATCGGGGGCAAAGTTGGAGCTAATAAAGGGACTCTTCTTGATTATGTGACTGTGTTGCCTTTGTGCCACGCCCCTTTGGGTCATCACAAGGTGGCCTCAAGGACTCTATCTAAAGAGGCAAACGATCAGCTGTCTGCAAGGAATATAAATCTTTCCATTCCTCACCATCCAGCCAAAGCTGAAGAAGCTTCTTAGGTGAGAAGTGAAACGTCTTCCAAGAAAAACCAAAAAAAGTCCAGTTGCCTCTTGGGACACACACACAAAAAAACACTTTTGGGGACGACAGATCCGACTGTTTTGGAGCTAAAGGTCATGTCCTTTCCTCTGGCGCCAACGTGCCAAGGAAAACCCCTTTAAGGAACAAGGCAGCTTCGGCTGAGGCAGCGCTTACCACCAATCTGATCTTGTTGTAGCGCAGGTTGAGTTCCAGCAACGAATCCAGCCCACGGAGGTTCTCGGCGCGGGTCAAGCCATTTCGGGCAAGGTTCAACATTCGGAGCTCCTTTAAGTGACTGAGATTTTCTATGACAGATATCTAGGGGTGGCGGGTGGAGGGGGAAGAGTTAATATTTGACCCACTCGTTTCCTTCCCAAAACTGCCACCATTTCACCACCGATGAAATTGGCAATATATTCAAATGATATAAAGGGAAGTTGTAGAAATGTCCAGTGTGCATCACTTAATTAGAACACGTCTACGTGCTTATTCCCTTAAGGTCTCTGGCTGGCCTACAAAGAACAGTAACCCCTAACCTGAAGGCAGGTTGGTTTCTGGCTTCCCACCCACCCAGTTCATCCCAGTTTAAATCTCCCACCAGTTAAGCATCTGACTAAACCAGGTGCCTTTCATGAGAACAGGGCTCTCCAAACGTGGCAGCTTTAAGGCTTGTGGACTTCAACGCTCCTTGCTGGCTGGGGAATTCTGGGAGTCGAAGTCCACAAGTCTTAGAACGTTTGCCACGTTTGGAGAGCCCTGTATTAGAATTAATGATTTATCGGAGAAGGTGCCGCCAGATTTTGGGCTGCCGCAGAATAATACACCTCTCCTCCTCCATGGTGAAACCAGGAACAGCTGAAGCTTAGACTCTCCCTGGTATCTCCTTTACTGGACATTCACTGGACATTCTCTTCTTTACTCAGGCTGTAAGGAAGGAGTAGCTCCTAGTAACAGCCAGACGACGATTGCTTCCCAACCCAACTGCAAAAGCACTGGTGAATCCTACCTGATTGCCATGAAGATCCAAGACATCGAGGTTCACAAGATTATCCAGGTTCGAAATTCTCCTGATTCTGCAGGGCCATTTGAAGTTGAGGGAAGGCGGAGAAAAAAAGGAAAACCCATTATGGTGTCGATCTAAGGAGACTTGAAGGATCTTGTGCCACGTGACAGGAATCCCTTAAGAGCCGAAGAAGCTCCTTGGAGGAGAAGTGAAACGTCTTCAAGGAAAATCAAAGTCCAGTTGCCTCTTGAAAACGCACTCTCACCAAAGCGAAGCCCCTCTTAACCATTCAAATGAATACTTCGAATACTAGCAGCTTGGGTTAGTAGTTAGGTTGTTGGTTTGAGCGCCGAGTTTGGCCATTTGCTTGCAGACGTTTCATCCTCGTCCGAGGAGACATTTTCAGTGCTCTTTGAGACAAGCACAACCCACAGCGCACTGAAGGGGTCTCCTCAAACGGGGACGAAAGGTTTGCAACCAAACGGCCAAGCTCAGACCAACCACATAACTAACCATCGCGTCCGAGCTCGGAAACCGAACAGGTTCTGGCTCATCTAGGCTGGATATCTGCAGCCAAACCAGAGTTCGGCGGCTGGACTCAGCCCCCAAATAAAACCTGCCCAAAGAACCCGGCTTTTCCGATTTCTTCACCTGTTATTTCCCAGCGAAAGAACCCGGAGACATCTCAAGGTGGAAAGGCCGCTGATTTCTTCTATCTGGTTGTCGTACAAGTCTAAGAAAATCAGGCGCTGCAACTTGGAGATGTTCTGGATTCGAGTGATGAAGTTGTGCTGGAAGCTTAAGAGACGGAGGTGCTCTTCTCCGTTGATGATGGGGCAAACGGTCAGCTTCTGCCTGGGAAGGGAGGTCCAGGTACAGCGCTAAGAAGGAACGGGGCAGCTAGTGGCCCAGGGGTTACCCCAACTGTGACCCTAGGACAGCGTTTCTCAACCTTGGAAAGCTTTCAGCTGTGTGGACTTCAACTCTCACAATTCCCCAGCCAGTAACTAAAGGGAGGTTCTGACAAAACGAAGCACACCCTCATTCTTAAATTTCCAAGATTTGAAGCAGTACCCAATGTTTTTTAAAAAACCGTAAAAGCTAAGGAAGAAGAGAGGGAGAGGAAGAAGGGAAGGGGGCAGACTGGGGAAGGAAAACAAGATCCAAGCCGGCTAAAATGAGAGCCTTCCTAGATCCCTAAATCCATCTATTAAAGCAGAATATAAATTGCAACCTTTGGTTGGTCACTTTACAGAGATCCCTCCCAGGGACACAAAGGCTGCTAGTGTTTGAAGCCCATGTCCAGCTGCAAACATCTGCAATAAGAGCAGCTCCCCCTCCTGCTTCCTTATGTTTACCTTTCGAGGGTCATCCGGTCCGAAAGCTGGATTTTCTCTTCTGCCGAGCGGTACACCAAAGGAAATCCCGTGATCCCATAAGTATTATTATCTAGCCAAGAGGGGAAAAGGAAAACTTTTCTTCAACTACCAATTGTTTGGACCATTTTTTAAAGCCAGGGCAGCCTTGGCAGTCTCTGATGGGACATACTGGTTTGGTCACAAAAGAAGGGACCATCGTTAAAGGCACCAGGCTAGAGTCAGAGTTGGAAGGGACCTTGGAGGTCTTCTAGTCCACTCCCCTGCCCAAGGCCCTGCTCTCCCAGAAACTGGGGGCGGGCCATGAGCTCTAGTTCCTCCTTAAGCACAAAGCCAACTGGGCAACCTTAGGCCAGTCACTTTCTCTCAGCCCTGGGAAGCAGGCAAGGGCAACGATTTAGTGACTGTTTAGAGCAGAGTTTCGTCAACTTGGAAACGGTCAAATAGATGGCCTTCGGTTCCCAGAATTCCCCAGCCAGTTTGGACCATCATTGCATCAGCCCTGCTGATTTGCAGAATTACCTGGGCCATTTGCGCTGACGTTGTGGCAGCCCTGTTGAACTCGGTACTTCAAAGGATTTGGAAACGAACCGTCTCCAGAGACTGAGAGAGACCCCTGGCCGTATTTCACTTCCAGGCTAGGGGTATCGACAAAATTAGCTGCAATGGGAATGCAGGCTTTTTTGCTCCGTGACAAAGGACTTAATCTTCCATCTGCTAGAAGGAAAAAAAAAAGAGGATTATTTGTCAACAGCGAAAAGATTAATATCAAATTTTAGAGCTTTCCTTTCAGACTCCTGGGTGTATGAACCTCTGAAAAATATCAGGACTGACTATCTCACTATTGGTTTACTGTTTTGCAATCTTACATACCGTTGATTTGTTAGTAATCTTGATTTTGACAGCAACTTTCCCCCCCCACCCCAAAATACCTAGTTTTCCAGGATGGGTTTTTTCAAGGTCATGCTGCAAGAACCGGTTGTGGAGATAAGGCTGTTCTTTGTGCAATCTAAATTCCAGCTGCAATAGAAAATGTCAGAAGAGAAATGCATTATGCACCTTATGAAAGAAAAGCAGAAGAAAATGGATTCTCCCAAAAAAACACTGAGATTATGAAACACACAAGATTTTAATTTGTGTCTCAAATTATGTCACACGAGGGCTAAAAGGACTACATTTTCCAGGGGTTTTTGCAAAACCGTTCCCACTCATTCAATTGAACCTTGTTTCTGCTTCTATATTTAGGATAGTTTTATTAATTCCAACACGCCAACGAATGTGCTTGGGAGTTGCAAAACATGCTCTCCACAACACAAAACATGCAAGAAGCGTAACCATCAAAAGAGCAAAAGAACAACACATCTACGCACCCACATCAGAAGACATCACAAAACACCAAATTCACTACACAACTTCAGTCGGGACCTCGGGGAGGAATTCTCTAAATGTTTATAATAAAAATTCAAGTCTCACAGCTCTGGTTCTTTCTGCCGCTGATGTACTTTGGAGAACTAGCTGAACTCCGTAATTGTTGGCCTGCAAAAAAGAAAAGAGAATTAATCACCTCCAAGTTTAATTAATCACCTCTTGAAAAGAGGAATAGGGAGAAGAACATTTTATATTAGCCTTGATTTTAGGAAAATGGGTGAAAAAGAGTTGCTAGAATAATGCATGCATAAAATAGGGGGCCTTTCACTCCTGCCTTTGGAAACCCCCCCAATTTTTTTCAAATAAATGTATTCAGTATAGTTATATAGACGTCTGTCTCACCTGGGTGGAAGCCCAAAGCAATAGGATGAAATGAACAAAAGAGAACAGAAATCTTCCACAAAGCATTAAAATCAAATACAAAAATCAAATCAAGAAATCAAATCAGAATCTTAAATGAAAATGGAAAAAAAATAATTAACTTTTTTTTTAAAAAAAGAGTTAAAAACCATGAAGGTAAAAAATAACTGAAACAAAAATAATAATAATAATAAAAACATTAAATTAAAATGATTGAATTTTTTTTTTAAAGGTTAAAAATCAATTAAAGTTTAAAAAAAGATTCAAAATAAAAATAAAGATGAGGACAATAAAAAAATCAATAACAAAAGGTGATTGAAATTTAAAGAAATGAATAAAGAAATGAAAAAAATGAAAAGCAAAATTATTTTTGGATTTATTCATGTGTTAAAAAATGAAATGCAAAATTATTTTCGGATTATTATTATTATTATTTTTAAATGTCCAGCTGGAGGAGGAGGAGGGGGGAGGGGGGAGGGGAGAGCTACACTCACAATGGCCTTCCCCAGCAGGGGAAGGACTACAGACCCCATGCTCCACGCCCCCGGCTGCGCTCCATAGGACCTGTAGTAGTCCCCGGCCTTCACGGGGGCCCCTCGCTTACCGAGACGGTGTGGCCCGGCCTCCCCACCCCGACGGGCCTGCATTTGCTGGGCACCATGGCAACCGTCCTCGCCGCCGCAACAAAGCGCGGAAGTGTCCGCCGCCTCCGCTCGCGCGCTCCGCCCGGAAGCCGCCCGAGCAGTTGCCGTGGCAACGCCGGCTTCCAGGTACGCTTTTTTTTTCTTTTTCCAGAGAGCCAAAGGGAATGCGGGCTCGAAGCATTACATAGGCACTTCGGGTTCCCAAGGAACAGTCTGTGGGGCGGGGGGGAGAACTGCCTCCCCTTCATAAGCCGTCCTAAATGAACCGGACGTTGCCGTTGCAATGGGGTGGGTGGGGAAGAGAACACCTTAGACAAGAGGTCTCCAATTTTGGCCACTTTAAGACTTGTGGACTTCAACTCCCAGAATTCTCCAGGCAATATAGAATAGAATATAAAATAGAATAGAATAGAAACAGAATAGAATAGAAATAGAATATAGAATAGAAAAGAAATAGAATAGAAATAGAATAGAATTGAATATGGAATGGAATGAATAGAATTGAATAGAAATAGAATATTGGAATGAAGAATAGAATAGAATCTAGAATAGAATAGAATCTAGAATAGAATAGAATAGAAATAGAATAGAATAGAATAGAATCTAGAATAGAATAGAATCTAGAATAGAATAGAAATAGAAATAGAATAGAATAGAAATAGAAATAGAATATAGAATAGAATAGCAATAGAATAGAATAGAAATAGAAATAGAATAGAAATAGAAATAGAATGGAATGGAATAGAATAGAATAGAATAGAATAGAATAGAATAGAATAGAATAGAATAGAATATTGGAATGAAGAATAGAATAGAATTTAGAATAGAATAGAATAGAATAGAAGGCTGAGCACGGTCGGCGAGTCTCTTCCCTCGAAGCCGTGAGGGTCAAACGTGAAACGGTTCGCCTTCCGCGAGGCTGCCGTTCCCCCGACTTGCGGTGCTGGAACCCCGCGGGCTCCCAGAGACGCCAAGGGGACCGAGGTTCCTCCTCGCCCGGGCAGGCTGGGCTGCCGAGGCGCCCCGGCCCTGCCCAGCCCAGCCTCGGAGGCGGAGCGCGGCGGAGGCGGAGGCTGGCCGGCTGGGCTGGAGGCGCCGCCCGCTCGGGCGACGGGAGAACCGCAGCGCTAAGGATGGCGGAGCCGGCGGCGGCGGCGTCCCCGTCCCCGGTGCAGATCCTGGTGGCCGAAGCGGAGGACGACGAGCCGCGGTGGCCGAGCCCGCCGGGATGCGGCAGCTGCAGCGAAGACGATTCCGGGCGGGGCGGCGGCAGCGGCGGCGGCTTTGGAGGGGGCGATAAGTCCAGGTAAGGGGACTGTGGCCCGGTGGGCGGCCGACCCAGGGACTAGCGCCTTGCTCCCGGTTTGCATTTGCCCCGGGGATGCCCGGCGGAGGAGGGGAAGGAGTCCCGGGAAGCGGGAATCCCCTCCAGCCAGAGCAGCCTTGGCATAAGAGGAGATACCCCCTACACACACACACACACACTGCAAACAAGGAGATGGGCGATGCTGGAAAGGGGCGGGAGATGCAACCCCGAAAACCGGCTGCGGGACTGCCAGGAGGAAACCGGGGGGTGAGGGGTTGAGGGGTGCATGATGCCTCCGTGGGGAGGGGTCTGCTTTGATGCCCGGGGGCTGCGGGAAGAGGCTGGGCACGGCCCGAAGCTTTGGAGCCCCTCCTGGGAGCGCCTTTCCGGATGGGGAGAGGGAGAAGGAGAAGCTCCCCCAGAGGGGCCGCCTCCGCCTCCCTAGCAAGAGACCCAACGAAGTTGGATTAACCCGGTTTGTTGTCCAATGACCCCCCCCCCCCCCCCCGCCCCCCAACAAAAGAAAATACTGTGAAGGAAGCTTGCCGAAGGCTTCCCGGCTTCATCCTGGCTGGTTTTGATTGGGTCAGACTGGATGAGTGCTTGGAAGAGAGACCCCCAAGGAATGAGCGGGCCCTTCGGAAAGAATGGCTTAGGATGGATCCTGGCATCATCTCTGTCTGTCTGTCTATGCCTCTCTCTCTCTCTCTCTCTCTCTCTCTCTCTATGATCTATCTATCTATCTATCTATCTATCTATCTATCTATCTATCTATCTCTATATCTATCTCTGTCGATCTATGATCTATCTATCTATCTATCTATCTATCTATCTATCTATCTATCTATCTATCTATCTATCTATCTATCTACCTATCCATCCATCCATCCATCCATCCATCCATCCCTATGTCTCTCAGTCTCTCATCTATGTCTTTATTTCTCTGTCTCTATCATCTGTTTATATCTATCATCTCTCTCTCTATCATCTCTCTCTAGCGTATCTCTGTGTGTGTGCATGTGTGTGTGTGTCATCTATCTATCTATCTATCTATCTACCTACCTACCTACCTATCCATCCATCCATCCCTATGTCTCCCAGTCTCTCATCTATGTCTGTATCTCTCTGTCTGTCTCTATCATCTATCTGTTTATATCTATCATGTATTTCTCTCTATCATCTATATCTCTGTCTCTGTCAATCATTTCTCTCTCTCTATCATCTATCTCTATCATCTGTGTGTGTGTGTGTGTGTGTGTCATCGATCTATCTATCTAGGATCTATCAATCTGTCAGAATAGTCCAAGCTTCTACTGGAAGTGGGCATCACCGGGCACCGAAATGGCACTTGCCATGGGAAGCACCGGCCGGACCAGCTGGGATGGGGAGGTGTGTGTGTGGGGGGTATTTGCTCCGGGTGGGGGGGGTGGCCCAGGGAGATGAGGGCGCTGAGCATCTCCGTGTCCTTGACAGAAGAAAAACAATCAAGGAAGAGCTGGCTGATTCTTTGCCTCCTCTTTGCAAGGAGGAGAACAGATTGGCCTGCAACCCTGCTGGGAAACACGCGCACACGTTTTCCCCCATTTTAATATCTTTTTTGTTGTTGTTTAAAAGCTTGGAAGGGAGAGCGCAGGGAGGGAGGGAGAAGGATCTGGGGGTGGGCCGCCTTTCCTCCTCTCCCCCCCTCCAGGCTCCCCTCCCCCTCATAGCCCCAAGCCAAGCCCACGTGGGCTCCCTGTGCCACAGTCGGGCCAGAGAGGAGAGCAGCATTGCTCTCGCCTGTTGCAAAGACAGCCGGATGTTGCAACAACCATTGCTGGCCCCCTCCTCTCCCCCCTGGGCCAGACGCTGGGCAGGCAGCCCGGGAGGAGGCTCCTGTTCCCACCCACACACCCACACACCCCCTACTCCTAGGGGGGGGGAGCCGTGCCGGGAAGGGGCTCTCTCCTGCTGACCTGGCACTGGGGTGGGCGGGTGGGCGGGCGGGAGGCCCTTCAGCTGCCAGGGAACATCTGTCATTGGATGCCGGGGAGGAGCCCAGCTGCCTTGCCCCACATCTGGTTCAAGCAAAGCTTCCCCCTCTGAGTCAGCTGCTGCCCTGTAATTGCATTCTGGGGAGGGGGAGATCGTGGGCATACGTGCCTTGTTCTGGACTGATTTTTCTACCGTTAAAGGCTGTTCCTGGGAGAGTTTTTTTTTTCCTCCAGCCGAAAGTAATCTGGACATGGGAGCAAAGTTGGAGATAATAAAGGGGCTCTTCTTGCTTATTTGAGACTGCGTTGCTTTTTGTGCCACGCCCCTTTGGGTCATCGCAGCGCGGTTGAAACGTTTCGCGAAAGGAATGGTTGTAAATTGAGGAGGACCCGTTATCCTCCCGATGGGGAGGCTCCCTTTAGTTCAGGGGTCGGCAACCCACTGCTCTAGAGCCGCATGTGGCTCTTTCATCCCTCGGCTGTGGCTCCCAGTTGCCGGTCAGCGCCACAGTTTTGAGAGTAGCTTCCGGTTAAAAGGTGAGGAGGGAGGAAGAAGCACAGCACGCCAGGTGACTGTATAGCAAGGGGCAGGTTTCCCGGTTCGCTCCATAATTGATAGGATAGGTAGAGGAGGAAAAAAAAAAGGCTCCATGCTAGGAGGTGACTCTATGGTGGGGGACTTCCGGTCAGCTCCAGAAATGAATGAGGGGCTTCTGCTTAGAAACTTTCTGACAGTGAGAACAATCCACCAATGGAACAAAAGTTGCCCTCGGAAATTGTGGCAGCGTCATCACTTTTCAAGAAGATATTGGACTGCCATTTATTAGAAATGTTGTAGGGTCTCCTGCTTGGGCGGCGGAGTGGGTTACATTACATGACCTACAAAGTCCCTTCCAACTCTGATGATCTGTTATCTGTTACCTTTGCGGCTCTTCGAATGTTTAAGGTTTCCAGGCCCTTGCTTTAGTTGTTGATGTCTTTAATTCCCTTTCCTTTCCCGGGTCAAGGTGTCCTTTTGCAAATTTCCGACACACTGTTCGTTGCAAAATACAGCGATTGTTCCAAAATATTTGGGAGCTCGGGATGCCCAGAGACTAAGGTTATTTGGATTAAAAATATATATATACGCAAATATTTGTTTTCCTGCGCACTGCTTGGAAGCCCAACCGAATTGTGCAGACTTTTTACAACTCCCCCAAGCGCGTTGAGCAACGTTCGAGGAATGTGCAAAGGAACAGATTCTTGGAAAGGAAAGTCACACATGTGTTTTTATTTTATTTTACCAGGCAGTTTTATGTAATCTTTTCAGTTGTTACAGAGAACGTGTCCACATGGCCCTGTTTATCTGGGTTTTTTAACTCGTTCTTTTCCTGAGCAATTCTTACTCTCTCTCTCTCTCTCTCCTTCCCTCTCTCCTTCTCTCTCCCGCTCTCTCTCTCTCTCCCCCCCCCTTTTTCTCCCCTTCTGCAGCGAGAATGACGGGGATGATTCGTCTCCTGCCTGGAAGCCCCCCGAGCACGACCTGATCCTGAAGCTGGTGGCTCAGGTAGAATATTATTTCTCCGATGACAACCTCGAAAAAGACGCTTTTCTCCTGAAGCACATCCGCCGGAACAAGATGGGGTACATCAGTGTGAAGCTGCTGACCTCGTTCAAAAAGGCAAGTCCCGGGGGAGACGTGGCCTGACCAGCCAAGGTGTCCTGACCGAGGCTTCTGAAACCGTAATTAAGCACACGCTTGGTTAAAACAACTGTTTTATTTCCACACTGGGAATTATGTGCATTCCCAGCCCGGAATGAGTCCCAAACAGTCCCTCGAGATAAGCACCCACCTTTCTCTCCTTTGAATTGCTGCCAACAACTAAAGTGGCAAATTAACTGTAAAAAACTCGACCGAAGAACAAAGTCCACACGGAGCTTCAAGGTTTAATCTGAACAGAGCAAATGACGTTGCTTCCTGCAAAGGTTTCTTTACCTTTGCACTTCCTTTATCCCTTAGGGGAGGGGCAATCACCTCCAAGCCTTACTCCCAAGTCACCCCTTTTGTTTCAGCTGTTCTCGCCTTCTGGCAGCTCTCCACACAGGGAACAGGCTCCCCTGGATCCTCTGCCTTGCTGCTGCCAGACTCCGAAGGCAGCACCCCACTCCCAAATGGTCCTGGCCCCATCTCTGCATTGGATGCAGGACCTTTGTCTGTGTCCTCTCCAGACTCCCAGGCTGGTCCCCGTTCTTCCCCACTGTCCGATTCCGCTGCCATCTTGCACAGGCTGCCAGAGAACCACAACACAAGGCAGCTCTGTAGGGTTTGGGGAGAAAGGGACTGTAGGAAATGACCAGGCTGAGAAGAGGGAGAGGTCAAATGCGTCATCAGTCACGAGTCCCTGCGTGCCCACAAGAGATCTTCAATGCCTTTCTTATCTCCCGCTCATTTCCCTTGACTGTTAGTGGGTCAGATTCTTGTAGAGAGCTTAAGTTTGCAACAAAACTTTATACTCTTTTGAGCTGCCGGATTCTCTTGATTTCCTGGGGGGGAGGGGGGGTTGCAGAGGCCCTAAAATATATTCATTGAAAATTAAGGTCCAGGAGACCAAGGTGACCCACCAAATGCTCCTCTTATCATGCCCACTTTATGAAATAAGCTCAGGTTGGCACAACAACACTGGATTTTAAGTCATACAGGAAGTTCTTGACTTACAAATCATTTGTTTAGCAAACCCTCAAAAGTTATGACAGCACTGAAAAAAGCCACAACTGCTTTTCACACAACTGTTTCAGCATCCCCATTGTCACATGATTGTCACAGCAACCTTTGCAGGAAGCAATTTTGTTCATTCTGGTCGGTTTGAAACCTGAAACTCGGTGTTGAATTTGTGTTCTGTTTTGCCCTCATATAACTAATTGGACATTTAGCCGCTGGCAGCACTTCAAGGAAGATAAAGGTGGGTGCTTATCAGGCTTATCCTGAAGGAATTTGGAGGACTTCCATGGGACTATTTACAAACTGTGTGAGACTCGTTACGGGCTGTGAACGACTAAAATTCAGAGCCGTTGAAATAAAGAAAAAAGGGCTTGGGAACTAACGTGTGTTTGTTAGTGTCTCAATAAGCCTTGATCAGAACAATATGATCCTCTTTTACGACCTTCCGATCAGTGAAATCAAGGGTGACTTAATGACCATGTTATTAATTTGACAACTGCAGCAATTCCCTTAAATAGCTGATCTTAAAATGGGGCAAAATTCACTTAACGACTGCCTCGCTTAGCAGCTGACATTTTGGGCTCAAATGCAGCCGTAAGTCAAGGACTACCTGTAATTAACTGGTTGATTCTCTTCGCAGCCTTCTGTTCTTGTTTGATGCCCATTCGTGGCATCCCTGGATGATTCCGGCCTTTGCTCAGATATTCTCCTCTTTCCTACCAGATCAAGCAGCTGACGCGGGACTGGAGAACCACCGCTTATGCCCTGAAATATTCCGACCTTCTGGAGATGAACGAAGATGGCCGCAAAGTCCGCCGAAGCGCCCCGGTTCCCATGTTCCCGAGCGAAAACCTCCCAAGCCGAATGCTTCTAGTCTATGACATCTCCCCGACTCGAGATCGACCCCTTCCGGATGAAGGACAGGAGAACGGAGAAGTCCGGGAGAAGGTCATGGAGCATCTCCTCAAGGCCTTCATCCAGTTTGGGGTCATCTTGTCCGTCCGGATTCTCAAACCCGGGAGGGACCTTCCCCCAGATATCAAGAGGTTCAGCGGCCGTTACAGCCCGGTGGGGACCCAGGAATGCGCCATCGTCGAGTTTGAAGAGGTGGACGCCGCCGTCAGAGCCCATGAGTCCTTTGGCCTCACGGACCAAGCCACCATGAAGGTCCTCCTCATTGGAACGAAGCCTCCAAAGAAGAAGGTCCTCAAGGAGAAGAACCCAGAGAAAAGCTCCGCCAAGGATCCAGCCAAGAGTCGCTCGATGAACCGAAGAGTTGAGGAGCTTCAAGATGTAAATGAAGACTTGTCGGCCAACAGCTCCTCGGATCAAGACAGCGACCCGACGTCTCCCATGCCGAGGAGAAGCAGCTCCTCCAACAGGTTGAGCCCTTCATCCTACCCCAACCACCACCTGAGCCCAAACAGCTCTCCGAGGTCGAGTCCCTGGAACAGCCCTTCCTCCCTGCGTAAAACCTCCAGGATGTCCCCGTTGGCAGAGGATGGAAGAGCCTTTCTCAGCACCAGTCCCGAGATGTCCAAGCGGCCGGCCGATTACTCTTCAGACAGTAGCATCACTCCTTCAAGTAGCCCCTGGGTTCAACGCCGGCGGCAAGCTCGGACTTTGGCCCAGGGAGAGAAGACCCCGGTGGGTAGCCCGGAGCCCAGCGTCAAAATAGCCGCCTCTGCCGGACTTCCCGTGGGGGTCTTGCGTTTGCCCAGGGGGCCGGACGGAACGAAGGGTTTTCATAACAGTCACGAAAGGAACAACATCGCCAAGAACGTATAAACTCCCATTTTGGAGCGATCCTTGGTGCTCCCTTAGACTTGGTTGCTGGGGTAGCCCTGAGGATGTTCCCTAGTTGGGTCATGAAACATCTGCAGGAAAACCACCAAGCTCAGAGAACACTAAATACCCCACAGTCCGTCCTTCGTTCCTTCCTTCCTTCCTTCTTCTAGAACTAGTTGGGTCATGAAACATCTGCAGGAAAACCACCCAGCTCGGAGAACAGTAAATACCCCAGTCCTTCCTTCCTTCCTTTCTTTCTCTTTCTTTCTCTTTCTTTCCTTCCTTCCTTCCTTCCTTCCTTCCTTCCTTCCCCTTCTAGAACTAGTTGGGTCATGAAACGTCTGCAGGAAAACCACCCAGCTCGGATAACAGTAAATACCCCACAGTCCTTTCTTTCTTTCTTTCTTTCTTTCTTTCTTTCTTTCTTTCTTTCTTTCTTTCTTTCTTTCTTTCTTTCTTTCTCTCTCTCTCTCTCCTTCCTTCCTTCCTTCCTTCCTTCCTTCCTTCCTTCCCCTTCTAGTACTAGTTGGGTCATGAAAGGTCTGCAGGAAAACCACCAAGCCCGGAGGACCGTACCCCACAGTCCATCCATCCATCCTTCCTTTCCTCCTTTCTTCCTTCCTTCCTTCTTCTCCTCTCCCTTCTAGTACTAGTTGGGCAATGAAACGTCTGCAGGGAAACCACCCAGCTGAGAGAGCACCAAGGTTTCTCCTTTCAACCCTGAGCTACAGTCTCCTTTATTATAAGTTTCTGTTTTTATTCAGGTCACATCGTCTCCAGTTGATAAGTTCATTGCCTGCGGGATACAGGCAGTCCTTGACTTAACATCTGTTCATTCGGCAACCATTCCACGTTACGACGGTGCTGGGAAAAAAAAAGGTGACTTAGGAACAGTCCTCGCAGTTACAACGGTCGCAGTGACCTACCGTCCCATCGAGGTTTGAGCACTTGGCATCTCAAGGTCACTGGGGACTTTCCCCCGGGGGATTCTGACAAGCCACGTCACAGGAGAAGCTAGATGCACATAAAGACCGTGGGATTCGCTTAACGACAATGGCCAAAACAAAAGATGATACGGTTCAACATGATGACTCGCTTAACAACTGCATTGCTTAGCAACAGAAGTTCCGGTCCCCTTTTCAGCAGTCGGATGAGAGCGACCTGTACCCTCCCAACTCTCGGCACGAGAACCATCCTTTAATTTTTCAACAAAAGCTTTTGGGTCTCTGTCGCTTCACAGGTGTCATCCGAAGCCGCCTTGTCCACCCCTTAAGAGCTGAATTATTACTGCTATTTTTAATGCCCGCTGTCAACAAGCTTTTTAAGCTTTTATTTGATCAATGTCCGTTTTGAAAAACATCGGTGTGCAAATATTATATTTAGCAAGGAAGGGCAGTCGCCCGAGTTGGCTTTGTTCTACCGGGGACGGCTGATGCCCTTCACTCTTGTCATCTTCTGTCACCTTTTGTCTCGTGTTGAGATGCTTCCCAGTCTAGGACCCAGGCAGGAAAGGGCATTTTTGGTGTCATGAAATAAACAACATCTGTGCTTAAAAAAACGTCTCTCGGGTTGGATGGGCTGAAGTGTCTCATATTCTGGTGGTGGAGTCGAGAGGTCCATGGTGATTAATGTTAGCTTTCTTTAAAAAGAGACAAAGTGAGCAGGAAGGTTGGCCAGGGTGGTGGTGGGGGGAACATCCCAATTCACACCTGGTTTGATTGCAGGAAAGTCTCCTTCCATGTGAGCCTGAGAGAGGGAGGGAGAGGAGGGAAGGAGGAGAGGATAAAGGAGCAGGAATGAAAACAAAAGGAAGGGAAAAGGGAAGAGAAAAAGAGAAAGAAAAAAGAAGGGAAGGGAAAGGAAAAAGGAGGGGAAGGAAAAAGGAAGTGAAGGGAAGGGAAAGGGAAGAGAAAGAAAAAGAAAAAAGAAGGGAAGGGAAAGGAAGAGAAAAAGTGGGAAAGGGAAAGGAAATGAGAGGGGAAGGAAAAGAAAAGGAAAGGAAAGAGAGGAGAGAGGAGAGGAGAGGAGAGGAGCGGAGAGGAGAAGCACCCCATGGAGAATGGTAGAATTCAGCATTCTTCAATCGTTTAAATTTAAGAAATGTGTGCTTTAGTAGACAGATTAACCCCAGCCTATGGTGATGCCTTGTGGCACAATGGTTAGGCAGCTCTAGGTACAAGCCATTGTGAGATCACTGCTCCTAGCAATGGGGTGGACCTACACAAACACACCCACGCAGCATCCCGATTCACCTAGAGGCCCAGCCAAGGGCTGGTTTGGATACAAGATGGCTTACTGCTGCTACAGGTTAGAGTGGCACCTGTTTGTGGGGGCAGAGGGCTTATCCCATGGCTGGCTGGGGGATTTGGGTGTGGAAGTCGACAAGTCTTACAAGTTGCCACCGTTGGAGACCCCTGGGGACGTCCTGCGCATGCGTTGAGTTTGCTGATGGCTCCATGTGTTGTAGCAATGCCTTCATTTGGTGGCCAGCTTCCGTATCTTGGTGAATTCAGCCTTTGGGTGGGCCGGGTGGAATCAGGATTGGGGTTTCTTCTTAGATTTTGGGTTGGTAGGACTGTCCGTGTAGATGGATTTTGGTGGGGGGATTCCAACATTTCATGGACCTTTGAGGGTTTTGTCGTTTTGTTTCTTCTAGACCTCTTATTCCTCCTTACGCCATTGCTCCTGACTACGCTTCTGATAGACCTCCGTATCTCTATTTTCCCAGTCCTGTAAGTCTGGACTTTCCTCCTTGGGGGTTGGTTTCTTGAACTCGTAGAAGCGGATGAGCAGTCTTCCTCAATCCTAGATCCCTCAGACCTCAACTCCCAGAATTCCTAGGTTAAGAGCAGGGCTCCCCAAACTTGGCAAGTTGAAGACTTGTGGACTTCAACTGCCAGAATTCCTCCTCTAGTCATGTTAGCTCAGGAATTCTGGGTATTGAAGTCCACGAGTCTTCAACTTGCCAAGTTTAAAGGCCCTTGTCCTCCATGGTCTTGTAGGGGAACCATGGGCCTTTCTTTTATGACTTGTGGACTTCAACTCTCAGAAATCCTGAGCCAGCATTCTGGGAGTTGAAGTCCACAAGTCATAAAGGGGCCAAGGTTCCTCAGCCCTGGCCTAGACCCTGGAAATGGCCTTCTCTTAAAGCCCCCTTTTCCCCCAACTTCGTCCTCTTGAGTTAGAAGTCCACAAGTCTTAAAGTTGCCAAGTTTGGAGACTCTGCTGTAGAAGCAGATGAGCAGTCTTCCTCAATGCTAGATCCCTCAGACCTCAACTCCCAGAATTCCTAGATTAAGAGCGATGGGAGGAGAAGGCCCACACCTCTGAAGCTCCACTTCAGAGAACATGGTTCCATTGTTCTAGATGTCTACACAACCTAGGGAAGATTCAACCCTATTGAGCTTAATATTAGATCGGTGTTTCTCAACCATGGCCACTTGGAGATGGGTGGATGCCAACTTCCAGAATTCCCCAGCCAGCCATGACTTCAAGACGGGCTGATGCCCAGACATCTCCAAGAGGCCAAGGTTGAGAAACGCTGCATTAGAAGATAAACATGGTTGAGTTGGTGACCAAGGTTGAGACTGTGGAAGTAGAGAGACACTTTCGAGGATGTTCTAGCTCCAAGGGTTCTTCCTTGATTAGAAGGTTGGACATAGAATGATGTTCCAACAGCCCGTTTTGCACCACGTTGCACCACCATGGTTCTGCAGCATCATTTTGACTTGGTTGTGGTGTGAAGGATCCAGATATAAATCCAGTATTGTTTAAGGAAATGTTTTCCCCCATCTCATCTCACGATGGGTGGGTTTAAACAGAAGCAGAAAAAAAAAACCTTCTGAAGGACTTCTTCAAAGCTCGGGCTGTCCCCTTTCCACCAGGATTATTCAACAAGGAAGTCCACAAAATGTTCCACCTTGGGGCCTTTCTCTCATTTAAGCTTGTTCTAAAAAAAAAATGGCTCTCTTCCAACACAAGGGAGTTAATTTATTTTCTTCTCCTTGAGATTGTAGACAACTACGGTTACATGAGAGAAGCAATTAAACAACGGGGAGCAATGATCATCGATAGGACTCAGGAGACAGGTAAAACCACGGTGGGTGGGAGGTTGCAACGTGCCAGATCCATTCCAGGTTGTACTTGGATATTCCACATGGATCTGTAGGAAAAAAAAAAAATCAGGATTCTCCGTTTCAGGACCCAGCCCTGCCTGGGAACAGAAGTGGATTAATTACGTCAACGTGATCAACTCCATCAATCCTTGGAGAGTGGCTGGGAAACCCTTCGGTCAGTGATGGCTTCTTCTCCCTCCCTGCCTCCCATCTGTTGAGAGTTGTTCAGATAACAGATAATCAGAGTTGGAAGGGACCTTGTAGGTCATCTAGTCCGACCCCCTGTCCAGAGCAGGAGACCCTACACCATTTCTGACAGATGGCAGTCCAGTCTCTTCTTGAAAGCCTCCAGGGATGAAGTTCCCACAACTCTTCCCTAGACTAACCATGCCCAATTCCTGCAACCTGTAAGTTCAGACAGGTTCTTCATCACTTATGGGTGGAAAGACACCTCCTGCTAAATCCTGGCTTCACTGCAGCTTGTTGAGAGGCCCCAGTCATGGCTAAGCCAGGATTGTCTCCAAACTTGGCAACTGTAAGACTTGTGGACTTCAATTCCCAGAATTCCTCAGCCAGCTATACCTGGGTGTTGAAATCCACAAGTCTTAAAAGTTGCCAAGTTTGGAGAGCCCTGATCTAAGCCACCATAACTAGCTTCGCTTGTGGTGCGTGAACTCCCCCGAACAGAGTTTATTTTACGGCTACGCAGCAGGTATAAACCGGCTGAGTTTTTCCCATCTTCCGTCTTCGTATTAACTGACAAATTTATGCCTTCCTTTTCTTGTTTCGGCCAAAGTTTAGGATTAGGCTGACCCCTCCTGCTCAAAGACAGCTTGCAAAGTATGGCCAGGGTTGGCCGAACCATGGTTAGCAAAGGCGGCTCCAATTTAGCCTTGACTTTGGGTTAATCTACCTACTGCTCACCTACCCAATCAGACACGTTTTTGTTACACCCCCTCCCCCCGAAAAAATAATTTGGGAACAAGAAAGAAATCTTCAGGGCAGCCTTATCTCATACCATTCAGTCATCAATATAATAATAATCATATTATTATTATTTCCTCATTGCCGTTAGAAAACACAATCTTGTTTTGTAGGAATCCCGGTATTTGGGCATACAGGTAGTCCTCATTGATTCATTTAGCATCTGTTCAAAATCATCAACAATGCTAAAAGAAAAGGGACTTGTAACTGGTCCTCGCACTTATGACCGGTCCTCGAACTTATGACCATCGCTGCACCCTTCCCACGGTTGCAATTCGAGTGCTTGTATGCAATTTACAAGAGTTGCATGTGATTCCTCCTTTGCGACCTTCCCAGGGGGCTGAGACAAACAGTCAAAAGTGGGGGGTGGGGAGAGCCTGTTTCGTTTAATGACCAAGTGACTCTCTTAACAACCATGCCCCCCCC